AGTCCAGGAAACCAGTGCAAATGCATTCTGGCCTAGCAGGTGGAGGGCTGGAGAGTGAGGGCACTTCTGCTTGCTGGATGGCATGCTTGATGGACTTCCCTAGTGTCAAGGAACAATGTGGGTCAGGAGACACAGGGAGCAGAGGTCCTTGGGGGGGATGCTCCCAGTCCCAGCCCCTCCAAAGAACCAATCCACCCCGATTCTACCCTCCCAAGAGCATGGTAGTCCCAAAAGGCAAACAAATAGGTCTTGGACGAGGAGGCGTGCTCAGCTCCAGAAGAGGATTCCTCAAGAGGAACATCCTCCTCGTAAGTAGGATACCTGCCAGAAGGCTGTGGCGAACTTCTGCTGTGACCTGGGTAAGGCATGGGAAGTCCTGCCCATGCACCCTTTCAGTAGGAGCTTGCTGTCTGCGGGGAACAGTGGCTTCCTACCAGCTTCACAGATTCACAGGATAGTAGGGTCAGAAGGGGCCAAGGAGACCATCCAGTCCAACCCCCTGCTCATGCAGGATGCCAGTTACTCCTTCCCAATCCTATAATGGTCTAATTGCTTCTTGAAGGCTTTGCATTTTTGATCTTATGCTGTGGCTGCATATTTATGCCACCAACCTTTGAGCCCCCTTTGATTCTGTTTCTTGGGCTGTATTTGCATCTGACTGCATTTCGTGATGGCACGTCACACCTTCCCTTGCAACTTCCCTTCTTGCCTGGAAATACCATGCCAATTTTGACTGCTTCTTTACTGACTGTTGCTGCCTTGAACTGCTCTCTTGCTGGGCTATTATCTCTGTGCTTGACTTTTACCTGTTTGTTGACTGGCCAGTGGTTTTGCCCCTTAATTTGCCCTGACACAGAGTTAGTCCCAGTACTTGAAAGAGGACCAGTGGTACACACTTTCATTTGTACTGCTAAACAACTTTGGCCAACCCTGCATTGCTCATAGAAGCCTATGGAAATTAGGTTGAAGTGTGCAAAGAGGCTGAGACTAAACAGAACTATGGTTTAGTAGGTGTGTGAGAGCTGATGGCAGGGAGGGGTCTCCTTAACGTTTTGCCTCCATGATAAAAAGGCAACTGTAAGCAATCTTCTCTTTGATTTCTGTGTAGTAAGTCATCAGGTCCTTAAAATATACAAAATTGTGCCATAATCTCATCCTTAATGTTGGGCATTTGACTGCTCAAAATAAAATTTGTTCAATTGATTGGTCAAATATTGTCAAAGAATATTTGTATCATTAAAGCATCAATGGTATGGGAGCAATGAAAAGATAATCAAACAGGGTTGAAACTTAACTGAAAACAAAAGAAACAAAACAACTTAGCTGTTAATTGTGAAGCAATGACATTAACTTTAAAAAATGTATTAATTTTATTACATTTTTATTTCACCCTTTCCCCAAGGAGCTCAGGGTAGCATACATAGTTCCCTCCTCCAGTTTTGCCTCACAACAACCCTGTGAGGTAGGTTAGGCCGAGTGTGTGTCATAGACCAAACATCACCCAGTGAGCATCATAGCTGAGGGACAATCTGAATCTGGGTTGCCTTGGTCTTAATCTAACACGCTTTCCATTAGCTGTTGGCCTTTACCACTGATGACTGGCCATATTCTTGTTTAAGGATTCTTGGATTCTTTAGCTAATAGTCCATGGGAAAAGCTGGGCTATGCAGCTAGGTCTGCCACTACCTTAGAGTTAGGGAGCAAGGAGTCCTTGCAAACAAGTAACCCCATAGTAAGATTTAAAAAGTATGCTGCCATCTGCACAATAGCATTTTTTGAATATTTGTCAGTGATCAAGTGATTAATCCATTGGAATTTTTTTCCAGTTAGCTGACTGGCATACTAGTGCCCTTTTGGAAGCTTGGAGAAGTTAAAAGTTAAGCTGAGGTTCTCCTATGTGCCGATAGCTTTAGGAAGGAGATGCCAGCACTGATCTCGCTGCTGTAGGTATCAGCGGCAGGATTCAGTCTTGGCACCACTAAGACCTGTGCCCCTACTTCCAAGGGTTTGTATTGCTTGCTCTATTTGCAAGAAGGGGTGACTAGTATTTGCCTTGCACTTGGCTCACGCACAGCTAAAGATCAAGATATCTTTAAGCAAATAAAGCCCAGGTGTGGGCTAATGTAGAGGCATAGGAATTGAAGTAACAATAAATAATAAATAAAATGTCTGGACAGCCCCACATCTGTCATAAATGTAACGAAAGACGTGAGACCTATCGAATTGCCAGCCTAAGCATGCGTTGCATGAAATGGAACAAATTCTCCCAAGTAAGAACAAGCAGAATGTCAGCTGCATGGGGGCTGAATTGCAACGTGGGTTGATGAGTGCCAGAACATCATGTATGTTGCTGCTGGAGTGCAAGGGGAGGATCACAAAACAGGAAGCAGTCCTAACTTTCCCTCCAGTGCTTTGAGAAAATCAAAGGAAAAAACTTTCATGAAAAGTTGTTAGGAGAGTAGGAGAGGGAGGGAAAGCATGCTGCAAGCACTGAACTTTCAGGAAAAGGAAGAGCGGGACCCGTGTCCCACTATGCCTATAAAAATACAGATGTGGCTTATTTTTCAATTTCAGCCTTTTATATTTGGAAATGAATTAGAGATTGCAGATGTTAGACTCTTTTGCGCATTCTCTCAATTGTTCCCTTCATATGATATCAAAAGGCCATATGGACACAGAACACACTTAAAACAGTCTAGACACATCACAACTAGAAGAGCTGATTGCTTGAGCACAGAAGAGAGAGGCAAGGATATATATGAGAGACCATAAAGCAGAGAGTAAAGGTGGAGACAGTATCCAAGAGTCTCTAAATTAATGTAAACTTTTAAATGATGCTCATGCCATACTTGGAAAATGCCTGGAAAGCTACACAAATCTGAACAAACATTCATCAAAATAGTGCTTTGATTTTCCAGCAACACATGATTTCTTAAAATCCAGGCTATACATCCTGCATGAAGTTACTTGTGCATAACTCCTATGGATTATATTTGTTCTGTTAGTTTCAGCAGGAACTGTTGTAACTTTGTGCAGGGCTGTGCCCTTGAACATTTATCATGCTTTTGAAAAAAACAGACATTATTTGAAGCTAAAAGCTATAGCAGCATATTGGGAAGGCTTTATGATAGCAGGCATGGGATTGGAGTAATCCTGTCAACAGACCACTCCTGTGACTTCACTTGGTTTTTAGTAGTAAGACTAGCTAAAAATTTGGAATACCAAGTGCTAACTCATAAAATCTAAGGTGACTCTGATCCTTACGCAATGCTAACTCATTGTCGCAAAGCAGCTGTCTTCAAAACATTCTTTTCTTCTTCTTCTCTTTTCACGCGAATTCTAGCAGATGGGGAGTCTGCATTTCTGACAGACATTCAGTAGAGTCAATGGTACTTTCACAGAACCATCAGTGACCTTTGTGTATCTTGCGCAGAATTTATCTACACTAATTGCAGAATCTGGCCCCGAGGTACCATGAGAATCCAGGCGCCTTGTTTAAGCATCCATCCACTAAGAAAGCATCCAGAACACTGAACATACAGCCAGACTACAGGACAACCAGTAAAGATGACATTTCTATTAAAATGAAAGTACCTTCTTAGACTAAAATCTATATACAATGTTAGTATTCTTTATAGACAATAAAATTATCTGTTAAGTTATTGTTTTAAGGGCACTATTATATAAACATGTCAACTAACTTTTAATCTTTTCTTTGGCTCACAAATACACTAAAATACCAATAAACATTATTTAGGACTTTGATAATTATATAAATAGGATACATTACAAATGGAAGAAAATACAAGACAACTCTTTTAGCGTGGTAAATTTTTGCATATAAAGAAGCAAACAGTTCATATACCTCGAAATGATCAGTTATCTTGCTGGAAAACTACAACATTTAATTCCTCCCCGTGCCCCATTCAATTCCTCTTCCACCCCATTTAACTGTAATGTACACAATCTACACAAATCAAATTCTAAAAAATGCTACAATAATATAAACTATTACAACAACTCAGCTACTACTATCCCCCGTAATGGCAACTAAAGGGGACATACATACAACAACTAGGTGGTACTGTTTAGGATGTGTTTCCTTATTGTTGTACATCAGAGAAGCACCAACAATAAAGTTTAAATAAGGTTAAACATTGTCCTTAGCTCTTAAGATCCTATATTTTTAAAAATGTTCCTTATACAATTTCCATCGGGATAGTACATCTTTGCCTGGTTATCACAAGATTTACATTTTAATGGCAGCGTAACTTTCCTCACATCTCACAGTACGGACCACAGTCCAGACATGCAGAGCATGAGTGCTCCTAAGTTCTATTGCTTGCTTTTAATGTAGCCAGATCCACTGCACTTCCGCTGACACGAGGCAAGTGGGGGGCGCCCAGGGTTACTTGTCAGTGTGCTCTGTGGGAAGCAATGGGCCAAACCCCCAAGCAATGCGCCTAGACTGGGAGTGTGGACGTTTCATCTACCAAAGCGATGCTCCGACAAGCCCTGTTAATATGCATAAGGCTGTACAAGAGCAGTCCTTGATGGGAAACACCTCTGCGTTGGAAAACATACTGTGAGTTACTCTTAGGTAAATTACCACTTTATTTATATAATATATATGCATATTTTATATATATATTATATATATACACACACTGTACATAGATATTGTGCAGAGTTATTTATGGGCTATCTTAATACAATGCTCTTTTTGCTGACCAGAATTACCAGGCTTAAATAGGGTCAACAATACATTTCAAGATAATTTATTGTCCCCTGTGGTAAAATAATCAACTAATACACATATATGTTCTACTAATCTACTGGGGGTGCGGTGGGTGGGTTGTCATTGTTTTTAAGGAAAGTGCCTCAGAAGAATCAAACATTTAAAAAGGGATCATCTTAAAATGTGTTCTACAGAACTAGTTAACCAAAAGACGGGGGGAAAGCCAGTACTGGAAAATGGTTTCAGTAGTCATTGAAACAAATTACAGATCTTGCCCCAGTCTTTCTATTTCTTCAATGAGGAAGTCAATATCAGATTTAGTAGCCGCCGGATTTGAAATGACCATTCGGAAGAAGTTAACTTTATCTCCCTGGGGCTGATATCCAACCATTGTAGTTCCTGACTCCATCATCAGGGCCTTGATTTTGGGTGCCACCTTTCAATTCAAACACAGAAGAAAAGATGTTAAGGAACCTTCTTCTTGCTGTATATTTTCCATAATTTCAGACTAAGTCCATGAAAAAGCAGGATTTGAGTTAAGAAAGCATCAAAGAGCCAACGAGAACTCATAAGCTGAAACAAGTGGCAAATGTATCCTGTACTCTTTAATAGTTCCCTAAAATCAATATCAAAAAGAAGCAGCCCTGCAATTTCCATAAAACCCCTGATTATTATTACCCCTAATGACATGTTTGCTCTTTGGCAGACAGCTCTGATCATACTGCTTACTGCTAAGAGAAAACAGCAGACATTTGAAAGAGGGACGTGAAGTAACACAGTGAAGTCAGGCAGCCTCTGGCATTTTTGCACCTGAGGCAGAAAATCTGGAAACAGGAGATTTCATGATGTCAAAAGTGTATAATTATAAACAAAATAATGCATAATTTCCTGGCTTGCCTATAACACTATAGTTTCCAGTCAAGATGAGCAATCTCATCCATAAATCAACTAATCCATAATGGATTTACACTAACACAGGCTTGTTAATGTTAGTAAATAGAATAGTTCCAAGTCTGACTTTTTAAAAAGACTACAGGATGCCACCCTATGGAAGTTTAGAAAAAAAATATCCTATAAACCCACACAGCCGTGTGGGCTGTGAAATTCTGGTAGTTCTGTCTACATGCGCAGAGGATTGTGCCCTGATTATCTCCACATGTTGTCCTGATTGATTGCTAACTCTTTCTAGAATGGGGTTTTTTCAAACATATTTTTAATTTTTGCAGAGCTGGGGCTAACATTTGTCCACACACCCTACAGCAGAATGGACCCAGATCTCTGGCAACACCCAATTTTGCACAGCTTGCACTGGGTGCCTGTTCTGAGTTCAGGATCAGGCAGGGTCACCTTATGCACCTTGTTGTTGTTGCTGGTTGCGAAGTTGTGCCCGACCCATCGCAACCCCATGGACAACATTCCTCCAGGCCTTCCTGTCCTCCACAATCCCCTGAGATGAGCTTAGTGAGGAGCTAAGGTGGTCATATTGGTGAACCCACATGTCTTTGGAACCCCCAGCCATGAGGACTTCGTTTGGCTCCCAGGTTTTAGAAAGGTAAAGGCTTTAATGGCAGCCTCTGTCCATTGGGTGTCTGTCCTGGAGGCTTCTTTAAGACTAAAGACTTCTATATTTTGCCAGTCGTTGTAATGAGCTCTTTGTTGATTTTTATTTGTTTTTCATTCTCTGTTCTTCTGGTGGTTTTATTAATTATGGGGTTCTCATATTGTATTGTCACATTTTTATTGCATGCTACCTTGCGGGGAGTTGCCCTGAAAGGCTGCTTAGAAATACTTTAAATAAATACAATTACCCTATGTAGTTTTTCTCTTCTCTCCTGGGAGTCCAGCATCCCTCTGAGACTTGGTGGAATATACCAGAAACAAACATTTGTGTGTTCAGGCTATGAGAAGGTGAAACAAACAAAACATCAACACTGTACGCAACGAAACAAAAATTGTTCCTTTTCTCACAGCACCCCGTAGACGTACTTCCCGAGGTCTTGAAACTGACCTTGAAACGCTGTTTCGTGACTCACTGTTGCTTGAGCAAGGAAGACGAAGGCCACTTTGGGCTCCCTCCTTCCATGGCGATTTGAAGCATGTATTGCACATGAAGCCCACACACAATTCCAGCACAGTTTCAGCCAGAGCCATTTTCAGCTCTCTTCCCCACCACCATTTTTAAACAGCAACAAGAAGCAAATGCACGCTCAGTTTGCTAGAACTGGAAAAATGTCAAGGCTTTCTTTGATGCAGCTTGTAAAATAGGGTGCATTTTCTATTTCACAAATGCCCAGTTTATTCGAAAGTAGCTTGTGGGTCCACAACTTACCTCTCCTTCAAAAACCATCTCAAACTCCTCTCTGTTTTTAATTTTGTTATACAGGTATTCTGATAATTCAAGACATTTGTTGATCTGACTTTCAAATCCCACTGTGCCCTGTTTAAAGGAAAAATACTCATTTTAAAATTCAGATCTGTATTAATCTTGTAGCCTCAGATTAGCTTTTCCTATAAAAGATTCAGGTTGGGATTCAGCTATATATTATCCAAGTTATTTATCCAAGTTAAACAGAAGATTATTGATATAAATAATATTTTTTAGTTTTGAGGTTTGTACATATTCATTTAGTGACTTTGGAGATTTTATCTCATATCTACAAGTTAATTTTATATTATTCATCATTTCATAGTGTTATAGAATATGTATCTTAAATATTGGAACTGCAACTATGCCTTTCAAGCAAACCCAAACACATACTCTCAAACACACACACACACACAGTTGGGGGTGGGGGGAAGCAAGAGAGTGAGATCAACCACTGATCTAAAATTATCTACGGGAATACTATTACACAATTATGTACAAAATATTGGCAGAATTACAGAACTAGTCCATAAAAAAAAAACTCATGGAAGAGAATTTGGTTTCACTAAATATCTCCAAACTTCTTTCCTTCTCCTACTGTCTCAGAAATGTTTTTCTCCTAAAGAAACACAACAGTTAAGACCAACGACACATTTAAATTCTAAGAGCTAGAAGCTACAATCCCAACACTGCCTACTGAGGCCCAACAGCCACCGAACGGCGTGGGCCTCATTCTGAGCACACCATGCATGGGATCGCTCCGCATGTTTCCAACATGTTCTGCTCACCTTTGCTTTCCACATCAACCAGAATTTGAATATGTCCACGTGGCGGCCACACTGTATGGCTTTATCCCCAGTATCATAGCTGATATCGTACTGCTTGTCCTGTTGGAACAGGTAGCCTGCACACATCTGGTTGCAGCCTTGAAGTATGCCCTGTGGCAGAAACACGCCTCTTACATACCTGCCATCGACACACAGATTAAAATGCACTGCCATGAGCACACTGGCCCGCCTGCATGTGGTAATTCCAAAGAGAGTATAAGCTTTATTCTTAGGTGTGACTAGATGTCTTTTTCCATTTTCACTTCGGCAACACTGCTTGTTGAATGACCTACTGATCAAAAATGGAAGGTGCCTCTGGCACACATGCCAGCTTTCTGGCCTATCGTTCCTCGGACATTAGCGCAGCTTGTAAACATGCAACTGTTTGCTTTTAAACCAGCCACAGTGGTTAATAGTGAGGTATCTGTCTGGCCGATGTTAACAGTGAGTCACACTTGCTGGACTGAATCAAATAATTCCTAAACCCTCTGCCTGAGCAAAGCACAAAAGATTATTTATTCATTTAGAGTATTCGTATGCCGTCCCATCGCATAGCCTCGGGACGGCTTACATAAAATAAAATCAAACGTAATACAAATAAAATCCAGATCCACCCTGGCGGCAGATTAAAACCTATAAGCTGATATTACATTGGCATAACAATGGGTGCAGTGGCATAGGAAAGGTTATGGAGGCACAGTAATGCCCAGGTGCCACAGGGAGGTCATCGCCAGCATACTCCTCATCCCCATGGGACTTGGACAGCTGGGGACAGCCGGGGACATGGTGAGGGAGGCCCTGCCCGGGATTCTGTGGTTGCTTGTGGATCATTCCTGTTCCTTCTGCTTCTGCTACTTATTATTATTTTCATTTCTATACCTCCCTTCACCCAACGCTGTCTGGGTAGTTTACAACAATACATAAAAAGGATACTAAATGTGCATATAAACTATCATAAATTCAGGAAAAAACAAACAGTTCAAAACAGCTAAAACAGACCATGTAACGCAGGAGTGGACAACCCATGGTCCACTGCCTGCACACAGCCCCTGCCCCGTGTTGCGCAGGACCCTGCTCTCTCCAATTTCTAAAAGGGAAATAATGGCCTCCATCACTCTCCTGAAAGACCCAAAGGCCCAATTTAGTTTGTTTGACCCATTTAGTAGCCCCCACAGGTGACCTCTGTATTGCAACTGCGCCCAGTCCAGGACGGTCACAGTGCGATTCATCGCTCGCCCTTGCGCTGCACAGGACTGCCATGAGAGCTGCTCCACAGGCGCTCATCGCATGGCTGCTCCCAATAGTGCTGGGAGAGGGGAACACCCACCGAGTTGTCATGCGACTTGGACACCTTTGCGATGAGGCACGTGCTGTAACTTGCCCTGGGACGGATTCTGTCCACAGCGTTTGCCAGCTTTAATACAAATGTATGAACAGTTCCTCCCCAATTATACTGACCGCAGATGGATTAAACAGGACAGAGCAGAAATGTGAACTCAAGGTACACACTGGGTAACCAAACTGGTATAATGGCTGGGCCTTTATCACCTGGGAACCCCGAGGATTGTTTTTCTGGCAGGGAGTTCTCATAGAGATCTCAGCAAGCTACAGTGCCCTGGATTCCTTGGCAGAGGCTACAGCGCTTAAAAGAGTATAAATGGTAATATGTTTGCACAGTAAGATATGCCCCATAAAGATAAAAGGGGGGAATTAAATATTCAAGCAAACCTTTTCCCGAAGAAGAATGGCAGAACACTGTAACAAAACGCCCATCATCTTGTGTGGATTCCATGTGACAGAATTGGCTCTACAAAAGCAATGGATGAGCGTTCATTATTGCTATTATTAATTCAATTTATACGCCACCCCATTAGCCGTAGGCTCTCTGGGTGGCTCACAATGCAGTAAAGTTCAGAGTGTACAACATAAGATACAGTACAACATACACAACAATAAAATCCACAATTCACATTAAAACCAATAAACGATACAAATCCATGAGTAAAAACTACTAAAATAAAGTAAAACAAAATAAGGATAATAAAACAAATAAATGTTTAGTGACTTGGGAGCTATTTTATCTCAAATCCACACATTACATTTACATAATTCATCTTGTAAGGGAGTAAGAGAGGCAAACTTTATTAACCTCTTTCAGCAGGTCATTGTTCTTCCTGAGCAGGGGCAACCAAGACTTGAATGACTTGATCCCGGGGCTGATATGGGCAAGAGCATTTTGTTTTGCTCTGGGGGCCTAGCAGCTCTGCTCCTGGAATAGGAATGATCAGCTCGCCCAGGATGCAGTCTCAGGCACTGGAGAGACTGGGCTGGCGTCTTTCCCTTTGGAAAAGTCGATGACCACAGCACTGGTGTATTTGCTAGAATGGCACTGCCATTCAAGAGGAAACTGAGCCCTCAGGGTGGCAAATGTCAACGAGAGTAAAAATATAGGACTTATGCTGGACTTCTGGAATGTTTGGCGCAGACTTTGCTAAATAAGTGCCCCCCAGACAGCTGGTCAGAGCTCCCAGCATCCTCAGTTATAACGGATGGAGATAGCGGGAGTTGCAATCCAGCACAAAGCAATGAACACAGAATATTCTGGTGGTCCAAAATGGACAACTATTATAACATGTGGGGCCATTGTGTGCTCCATCAAGACCTGCAGGCTTCATCCACTGCTGATCTAGAACCCACTTTTAGCCTCGTCATATCACGTGAGTCCCTTTTTATCTATTCTTTCACCCACATAGGCCTTTCCTTCCTCAACATCTTTTCAGCTCTACTCTCCTCTTTCTCTCCTTTCCCCTCCATTTTTCTCCTAATCCTAACAAACAAGACAGAAGTTGCCCATGAAGGTGTGAACCAATTCTCGGGCCCTGACCACCAGCTGAAGAGAGCAGCACCTGGCGCATACCCTGCGAAGTGAGCTTAGCCGGCGCCCTGCCTCCTGCCCCGCATAAGTCTCCCACTGTCCCCCATGAGCCCGGTGATTGTTCACATTAATTAACTGCATTGATCTGTGAGCTGTGGAAGGATGCCCAGGCAGGCACACACAGCGGTTGCTGCAGGCCCCCGTTAGGATCCCTTCTGTCAATACGGAAAAGACCACAGACAGGAAAAGCCGACAGTGATTGGCAGGGAAGCCGTCCCACTGTGACAGACTTCTCAGCTCCAGGCCGGTGGATGATGTTCATGCGCTGAAAGAGATGGAACTGCAAAACACCTGGAACCTCCTGAAGGAACAACTGGTGTGCTGAATCTCTTGATCTCTACTAGAGGGCAGCTTTTACTAAGGGACCTTGCTGGAAATGCGGGGACTGCGTGCCCCAGGAAATAGCAAGCACCAACCTATACACAGAATTACACGTTGTAGTTAATCAAAATCCAGTGGGAAGTATCTGTCAAATGTCACCATCAGTTGTAAATACTTTGCAGGAAGGGAAATTGCCGTACTGCTGCTAGGTGGCTCTTTTGGGAATGATGTTACCAAATCAGTTAATCAGCACAGCTCAGAGTGTAATGGCATCCATTACGCGATCTGCTTATCACTACCGTCTCTTAAACACTCAAATCAATCCTGAAAGAGCAGCTTCTCTACATGGGCTTCCCACTTTCAGCAGCTTGGGTTTGCAAAAGGCCAGATCACTTGTTCCACAAAATAAGGCCAAAATCTCACATACCTGGTCAAGGTTGTTACCATGATAGTGATTCTAATAGTGCTCTAGGAACTTAAGTTCCAGGTAGAAGCCAAAAAATGTCACTTACAGCCACAGATTGCATGATGTCAGTAGAAGACTTACTTGCTAATCCACCGGGGCTGTCTCAGAAAGCGGGCAAGGCCCCCTGAGGTCAAGGGCAACTAATGCTGACCCATTTGTCTAGTAGGACAGACTTAAAGTCTCTCTTGTTTCAGTCTGGTTTGCAATGCAAAGATCAAAGTGATACAGGCCAGCTGAATTACAACTGTATCTGCTTCTCGTGAATGCTCAAGAATTAACACGAACGTTTCTCCTTATTTGACACTTTAGCCTCATACATACTTCTTTCTCCCTGGTCCGTGGCTTTTCAAAATGTGGTCATATGCTTGAGAATGGGGGTCTGTCTTTCTAGGTTATGAAATGTCATGTAAACCTAGAGAGGTCACTCAGTCAAGATGCAAATTAAAAGGGTTCAGTACCTTTCTATTCCATTCAGCTTATGACGATGCTTTCTGGACATTAGCAATCCACCTCCCCAGGCAGCCTGAAAATGATGTGAGGGAAATAAAATGTTCAGGAGCTTTCAAATATCCTGCACTCTGCGACTTCCAAAGGCGACTTCCAAAACTTTAGAAGTTTTGATCTCTATTACGTCTCACTGCTGGCCTGCTTGCCAGCATTGACAGGAGTTATTAGCCAAAATACCTGGAGTACCACAAGTGACCCACCCCCACATCCTCAGTCCTGCCACTGCTTTCAGTGCTGAATTCTTAAGGAAACATGCAGGATTTCAGAGCAGGCCGTGCATTTTACACTCCCTGTAAATGGTGACCAGCTTTTTTTTTAAGGCCTCAGCAACACAAGCATGAACAAGGTTTACCAGGATCCTTCTTTTCTTTGACAATGATAACTGTATTCGCAGTGCAATCCTATGCATCAGCACTCAGAATTCATTGGGGTCAGTGACATCTAATCCCAGGTAAATGTATTCAGAATCGCAGCCTTAAGGCACAATCCTATGCTGTGTTTAGCAGACAAAGGGGCCTACAACTCCCAGCATGCCTCAACCAGAAGGACGATCTGGGACCACTGAGAGTGGCAAGCTTCTTTTCTTTCTATTGGGCATGACTGTACCCTTAGGGTTTTTCTACATGAGATATTTATTGACCCCACTCTTACAGGAGTTTGCAGGTCCTTTGCCTGACATGGTTATTCTCCCAGGGCCTCTTCTGCATTTTACAGCCATTTTCATGGCTTTTCTTGGAACAAGGATAATAGAGCATTTTCCTAGAGGATACCCTTAGTGGAAACCTTGTGCAAAATCTAAATTCCGCTCTATACCTTAGCACCACCTTGTGCTGTATAATGGAACATATAAGAACAGACAGAAAGGCAGAGGGGAAACGACCCCGGGAAAGAAACATGCAAGAGGATGTTCTTCCTCCTGGAAGGAAAAGGAAGCAGCATCCTTGGGAAAGCACCAGATTAAATGTCTGCTGTAGAGAAGCCCTGCCTTACTTACATCCACGTGGAGCCAAAGGTTATGTTTTTCACAGATGTCTGCCATCTCCTGAATAGGATCAAAAGCTCCATAAACTGTGGTGCCAGCAGTTGCATTCACGTAAAGGGGGATATATCCCTATGAGAGAAAAACAGAGGATTAGCTTTATCGTGAGAAGCAAATGTTTTAAAAGGACAAATGAAACTAACTTCGATTTACAATGACTAGCAAATTCATCAATCAGTTTCAGAGGAGTTTTCTTTGTAAACTGTTGCATCTCTTTTATTTGGAAGACACAAGGAACCCTATAACCTAAGTGTGTCTAATATATAAAATATATTATGGCATTAGTTCCCTGGGAACAGATTAACTAGATACACTAAGAGTGCAGTCCAGGGGCAGCTAAATGCTCCCTGGTCAGCCCTAGGAAAAGGAGGTGGCCCTCTTGTGACCATGGGAAGGACTTCTCCACTTTTGCAGCAGCGACTCCACTTTTGGGGGGCACTTTCCCCTGCTGAGCCAGCATGGTGCTTTCAGGGCCTCATCCAGCCAGCTGGATGAGGCCCTGAAGATGGAAGACTCTTTTTGGGACAACAGGAGTGTGTGGCTTGCTCTGGGAGAGTGGAGACGGGGACATTTAGGTGCCTGAAGAAAGGCATCTGAATGTTTTTGAGGGTTCCTCCCTCACTCAATTGCGTGCCCATGGGTGCCCATAACCTTAGGGTCATAGGGTCACGGGCAGCCACAAAAGTCTGCACCCTAAAGAGCCACAAACCAATGCATATTTAGACGGAACCAAGTCCTACAACTCCCAACATTCCCTAGCCAGCCAAGTTCCCAGAGTGCAGTCTGCTGTATGAAATAATGAGATGCGGCTAGAAAGATTACTGAGGGTTTTTGGTGAAATCTGAACATGTGGGGTTTAGAATGCTGGCATTTTGGGGATATTTGCATGGGGTGTATCAGGTAAAGAACAAAACGAGTTTGATAAATCCCATGTTTGCGGTAGAAATTCAAGGAAAACCAAAAATATTTGCTGAAGGACAAAACCAAGCCAATGTGGTCCAGCATTCCACTTCCAGCAGACAACCACCTAGCAAGCTGTCTGGGAACATTCACAAGCAGAACATAAGAAGAACCATCCTTGTACTCTATTCTGTGAACAGAATGTCTGGGGAAGCCAAAATCCACAGTTAGGTGATACCACCCAGTTAGGACCAACCAAAATCCCACAAAAGGTTTTGGTTGGTCCTGTAGAAGGTCCTGCAGAAGAAGAAACGGTAGAAGGTTTCAAATTCTACAGAATTTTTTTTAAGCGAGGTCAGTCCTTCTCAATGTGGTGCCCTCTAAATGTCTCAGACGTCATCTTCCATCGGCTCCAGCCAGCATGGCCAATTGTTAGGAAAGCTGAACCAGAGCATGTGGAGGCAGCCAGTGGGGCAAGGTGGTGTAAAAGGCAGGGAATAGGTGAAGAAACAGAAAGGTCCCAAAATTAGGATTGGAGCCATAAAGCCTGCAATATAGACTCAGCTTCAAAATGCTGAGTGAAGCATGAGCAAGGCACTGGTCGATGTTGCCGGCATCAGATAACAGCCAGCATCGTGGGACATCACTGACCATCAACATACAGTTCTGCTGTAATCCAGAACTGTCTTTTACCCTGGCAGAAACACACAAACTATATGTATAGTGCAATCTTATGCATGTTTGTTTAGAATTAAGTTTCTTTATATCCAACAAAATTTACTTAGAGTATATACACCTACTTGAGAGTAACTGCTCTCAAGTGCACTTACTTCTAAGTAGTCACATATATCACTGCACCATTAGCCTAGGTTAGTGCATGTGTTCTAAATTTCTACAGAAGTCCTTGCAGTGTCTTAAGGCTTCCTATTTAGTCTTAATCTAAACAGGAAATATGTTCAGATTTAAAACAACAACCAAGTTACCTTTTGTTTGGCTTCCAGAATTTTAGCTTCCAAATCACTTGGTATTATTTTGCCCCTGCAATCGAAGTGAAACACAAAACCCAATTAACAAGATCAGTTAATTAATTGATCTTGTCAACAGGTCATTAGCATCTTTCACTGTGCATAAACAGGGAGAAACAAATTGCCCTTATGAGCCAATTTACCTTGCATTACACTTTATTAAAATCACATTCTCGGTTCCAAAACCAAGCGCAGCTCCGGCTTTCTTTATTGAATAGTGACTCTGCAATAACAAAGACAACAAAAACCATCCAACTTTCTTTAAAAAAAAGATGTAAAGTGATGCACAATTACGTAACATCCAATAAAACTCAAACTAAAACACTCCTTAAAAGAGGCAATAACAATTTTAAAAGGCAGAAAAGCTTGACAAAATAGTATGGTTTTCACTGCTGGGTTTTATTGCTTGTGTAAAACTCAACAGAGATGGATTGAACTTGACCTCCCTTGGGAGGAAGTTCCATAGTCCAGGTGCTACTGTAGAAAAGGCCCTGCTTCATGTACACACCAGCGTAGGTTCTCTGGTTGGTGGGGCGTACAACACAGCCTCTGATGAAGATGGGAAAGTGGATAGACTTTTCAGATATCCTGGCTCCAAGCCATTTGGGGCAAGACCCTCTGAAGAAGACAACCAGGCCAAAGAAAGTTAGAGGCAGAAGAAGGGGATGTATGGACGCCACAGTCTTGAATTTACAAGCACTGAACAGGCCTGTGATAGATGGCACATTTTGGAGGGCTTCCAGTTCATTGGGTCACCACAAGTCAGAGACAACTTGACGGTACGTAACAACAACAGTCAAAACCTGCACTTTTGCCTTGCTTTCTGAATAAGCAAGGCAATTGGATTAATGTTGCTGATATTTGGTCTTTAAAGTCTATGCCAGACAGTCTGGCTGATGCATTTGTGCTAAGCTTGGATGCTGGCTTCACCAATTTTACCACTTTGAGGCAAATAGCTAATAAAAAGTATCGTGCTTGGGATTGTATGGGGATTGTATGGTGAAACTGGCTGTGCTGCATGTCAAAGAGCGACACGTAGAAATTCATAAAAAAAGGACAACCTCCATGTCGTTGGGACTGGGAATAACAAGCACAGAGCAGTTTGTTTTGAGAGCTGGACAGTCAAAAGTGTATGAGTGTGTGTGTAGGTAATGTTGTCCCTTCTATCATGCATGTGATGTGTTGACTCCACACGCCTACTTCAGGTATCTCACACACCAAGGGGAAAGGGTAGGTAGCAAGAGGCTGCAGGCCCATCCCTTTGGCTCCACTGCCCATGCAATACTGTGGATGTCTGATGCAAGGGCGCTTGCGTACTAAGACCTCTTTCTGGGCGTGGGCTAACACAAGGTTGGCAGAAGCTGCCCTCCAGCATGGGCACAGTCCGAGGCGCTGTCCCGCAGTCCCTTTCCAGATGTGTTGCCCCTTCACATGAGTAACATGCGAAAGGGCCTAGAGGAGTACTTGTACCTTCCCTGATTCCTCCCACTTTGTGGCAATCATAATGGGCCAATGAAGCAAGTGTGGCAGAAATCCTCTTCTGCAGCTGAACAGAAAGAGGAGAAGAGGAGGAAGGAGGGATGTTCGACTTTCATTTGTAACATTGGGTTGGATTTAGTTTTAGAAAGACTTGTGATTAACCTAAATCCCATGGATTTCAATGGGCCTACTTTTAAGGGTGACTAAATCTAAGACCACCCAGTAGCTATTATTGTGAGGTGTAAAATAATCACATCAAATGCTATAAATACACTTGTCTATTTTAAAATTTAATCCTGAATCTATCCAAGATTAAGCTCTTAAGATTTAAGGCCTACTAAGAATCTTGGTTCCCCTATGGTCCCTTTGTATCCCAGTGCTGCAATCTGAAAGGGCGTGTGGTCGGATAAAGTCCCTCTGTCAGAGTGAGAGCCATTGCACACAAAGTGTTTGCCACAAGGAGAAATGCACAGCTGCTTTCACAGGGTGGCCATGTCCAAAGATAACTGCCTTTTTGACAGCCATTTTAAGGCTAGAAACCTGCCTGCTATCCAAACTTTCTGTGTTTGACAGTTTCAGCCTCCCAAAAGCTTAAATTTGGAGGGGAAGAAAAAAAATGAAAGCAGGTGGTCATATTCCTCAAAACTGGGCTGACACTTACAGAAAAGAGACTTCCTTTGCCCTCCCCCCAGTTATTACATTAATGGTAATTAATCAAGCTGATTGAGCTCACATGTTCTGAGGTAAAGAGGACCAGCTTAGGCACAGCAGCCATGCCTTTGGTTTTGACTTCTGGGAAATATTTGTAGCGGGCAGCCATGATGCTATACATATTGGATATAGCACCACCTGTAACAAGAGTACATGACAATAAAATATTAGAAGAGAGATGGGATGAAAGCCTGATATTATGATCAAAGGTATAAAAGCATCATTTGCATAATGCAAGGATTAATCACTGGGATGCATCGGCCTGAAAACAGTAATGATAAAAGGGTTCTGTCTCTCTTCATCATGGATGGCATTCCTTTAACACAATGGTTTTCAGTACTGTTCTCCTGAGGAATCTGAGCTAATGGCGAATTTGTACCCTAGAATACTCCTCGGTAAGCAAGTCAACATGGAAAGTGTTCCCTTAAGTGGCATTTCCACTTTAACATATTCATCGGAAGACTTGATCTTGGCTTGCTGCTTTCGGATCTTTAGAACCACAGATGTAATTAGCCAGAATTGTTTCTGATTAACAAATTCTGTCATGAATTCTAAAACACATGTGCAACTCCTCACTTCCATTAAAATACTAGCACATTGAAATGAATCTATTCCTATACTGAATTATGTTCTAGGCCCAGTGGGTTAGTGTTCAGTCAGGCTTATTGACTGATTGGTTTATAACTTTCTAACCCTGCCTTATCACCAAGGCCTCAGGGTAGCCAACACAATTTTGAAACAATAAAATACAAACTCACAACAGTAAGAATCATAAAAGTAGAAGATAAAATAGAATGTTAGTAAGCAGTGACACAATTAAGAGTCTCAGAAACTAAAAGCCATGAAAGACATGAGAGGACAGGGTGGGCTTTTGCCTGGGACCTAAAAGGACGATAAGGAAAGCACCAAGTGTACATCTTCAGGAAGCAAGATGCACATTTTGGACATCACTACTGGAAAGGGCTACCCTCTGGTTGAAGAACCGAGAGAACGAGGGATCCATGTGAGAGAAACAGGATTCTTGCTTTCTTACATGTCCTGGTTCTCTGCCTCACCATTTACCTTGCAGTGCTGATTCTAACCCTTCTTCTGCAAAAGAGGCGTCTCTCTGGAATTCTTTCTGAGACAATCATCATTCTTAGCTTTTATGAAGCCCCTTATAAGGGCTCAAAGGGCTTCATGTCCCTTACCTCGGATTATCTTTCTGGGAGCTTAGTAAAGAAAACTGCTGTTATTAACTTATACTGCAGATGGGGATGGGGAGTGAGGCACAGAGAAAGTGGTACACCTAAAGCAAACTAGCGAGCTCCTGTGGGGAGGCAAACTTTGAAATGGGACAAGGAGGAGAAGGTGTAGAATGGAAAGAGGATAGGCTTGTATTGTGATGTATCGCCTCTATTTTGGGTTATGGGGTGGCCTAGAAATGGAATTTATTAAATCAATAATAAATAAATATTTCTACTCTTGTCACTGTTTAAGCCCCCAAGAACTCAAAGTCTTCCATGGTGAGAGAGGTAAATATTGCTTGATTGAGAAGGAAACCTTTTTGTTCTTTGAATAGGTTCCTACTTCTAAGGCTCTATGCAACATTTATTTGATTTAAAAAGTTCTGAGTTCCATATTCAACTCGTTCAGGGCAATTCCAAGAGATACATAACAATAAAAAACTGTGCAATAAAACTTGCATGTTATATTTTTGACTCCACTGTTCCTTCCCAATGAGCAAGCCAAAACAAAATCTTTAGTCATCCTGTAAATGACTGTAATGTTTCTAAGACTTCACTCTTCTGTGAACAAAATGACACCTGGTGCCCTCCAGGTGTTTTGGACTACAGCCAGCACTCCTGACCATCCTCTGTGCCAGCTGGGGATGATAACAGTTAGCCCAAAACATCTGGAAGACACTAAGTTACTGAAAGCTGGTGTACAACAAAGATTAATTAGATTATCAGACCAATATATGGGTTACGGGGCACTCAGCATCCAATCCTCTGGATACAAATTATTTAGGAAAACCACAGTACATGCTGCAAAGCCTTAATTCCCAAAAGTGGGTTCGTTAACTGACTTTATTTTGACAGATTCTCTGGCTGTTTTGAGCTTGGCTGCACTGTGTTGGGCTGTCTTGGGATAGCAAATATAAAGAGACAGGCTTCCAGAAGACTTAAACATGCACCATGCAATAGGTCTTTGGACTGCCAAATCAGCAAGCTTTTCTGCCCAAGGGACAGGCAGCAGTGTGAACCCATGAGAAAAATGCATTAAATGTAATGGGCATACCAATCACTTGGTTCAAGACTTTAATAAGTAGCCTGAATTCTAGATGTGCTCCATAGTAACTAGAGAATGATGAATAACTTTGAACATTAGACAGCTTATTTAAATCCCCAGGTATCTTTTTTGATGCCAATGTGCTATACAATGGTTTCCAATGAGATCGGAACAACAACACCTACGAGAGGCATATTTATTGTCAGATCATGACCCAAAAGTCACTACAAAGTGGCAAAATTGCACAAATTGAGATTAGTGGATATTAATGAATTATAGTATTTTATCTAATTTAATGTTTAGATTATTTTATTTCACTTACTGATTTTACTGTAGCTTAATTCCCTACATATTTGAATTACTCATGTTGCATTTTAACCTATTTCATTGCATTAATACTTCACTATTTGTATGCTGCATTTTACTGGTCTGTGGACTGAAATAAGTACATTCATAATGTCTTACAAGAATCTGACAGGCCACCCTGGGCACTGTCAAGGGCTGGCATAACTGGTACCTGCCAAGGCCCACAACCTGAAAGAGGTCCACTGCCAACCCTTTTGGGGCCATGCTGGCTTAGGGTGGCCATTGGTGTCCCCCCACCCCTCTTTTTCAAATAACAGTTCTCTATTTGAAGGGCTGCTAGAGGACTCTACCTTTTGAAGGTTGCCTGTATTGGAAGGGCTGTCCTGATCATTCTCAGTTCCAAGAGAAAGGGCCAGACGAAGGGTTGCCCATGCACGGCTGGCCTAGGAAATGTATGCTGTGCGGGCAGGTGTGCAGGTCACCTGGCCACAGTGGTCAGCGCTTTGTAGAGATGCACTTTTTTCTATTTCATTATCACGATCATTTCTAAATTTGCAGCCATACCTATACATTCACACATCGTGATTTTTGTACAAATAGAGATCTCCCTTGGTCCTCGTTTTGGCAGTTCACAATTTACCACCCAATAATGTGACATGGCTGAGTGGAACCCTGCACATGTTACCTTCTCCATCGGGATAGTGCTGGGGACTGGACCCTGAGAGAGCTGGGTAGGGGGAGCAGATGGGCAGCTGTGATGGTGGTGAAGAGGGGGCCCACTCGGGAAAGGGGGCCGCTGAGGGCCCCTTGCCCAAGACTCCCTGCCCCTTAAAACTGATTGCAGAATGGCAACTGCTTTCCCAAATGGTTCTTTAATTGCACCCCTTAAAAAGGCTTCATGGAAAGCCTGGCAGTAGTTTTTAAGGTGAATCTTTACTGTTCTAAATACAGTAGTGCTATACAGTTAGAAGGCATTCATGCAGCTACATTTTAGGTCTTTCCAGCACTACATCTGGAACAAGAATAAAACCTACCAGGTGAGAATATTCCATCTCCATCTTGGTTTGACCATCCAATAATCTCTCTCATTTTTCGAAGTGTTATTTGCTCCATGAGGACAAACACAGGTGCAATTTCATATGTAAACCTGGACAAATGAAAATATATACCAATACCTGTTTCAGAACAGGAAAGATAAAAACACACATATCTTCAGAAGCCACTTTTGATTTTAGAATGTTATGAGATACAAGTTTCAGCCTTCACCAAATTACCTGGGAGTAAGCCTCATTGAACTCACTGGGGCCTAATTCTGAGTAGGCATGGCAAGGACTGTACTTTCAGTTATGTAACAACAGACTTTTACTGGGGGAAGCCCTAGCTGTTCAAACAAACATGAGCCATTGAAACCCTTGCTTCGCCTCCATTCCCAGAAAAATGTCTTCCAAAATGGTAGCCATCCTCTGGAGTTTCTTAACATGCTAAACTGAAAAGGTGCATTGTTACTTAGTACATATGACAGTGACGAAGTGCGGGGGGGGGGGGCTGTTCCCACTGCATTTGACTGTTCATAGAGAGCATGTTACCAGGAAACACTGCCTTCGCTTTCAGCTGGCTTCATTGCAGCTCCATAATGTCACACAAATTACCTGGTGGGTGGTCTGATTTATTATTTTTTTAAAGATACCTCTTACTAGGTGAGGGAGTCTATTTCACAGGCAGAGGTTTGAGATAAAGGAGATGTTGATTGCTTACAGGAAATGAAGTCCCTGCTGCTTCCTGACCCTTAAGGAAGGGACAAGTCTGTCCGCATCTTTTATAATAATAGGAATAATAATAGTAATAGTAATAATACAGACAGAAACCTTAGATATTGCCTTATACCAGGACTGATTATTTATCCTTCTAGCCCCATACAGTCTTCTTTGACCAGCAGCAGCTCACAGAATTCTTTCTCAGCACCTGCTCACTGAACATGGGAGAGGGCAGAGACCAAACTGGGCCTTTCTGCATTCAGAGCTTGTGTCCACCCGCAAACCTTCCCTGTATTCATAATAAGCAGCAGGTATATAGTTCATGCAGTGTTCAAAGGACTTCACATGTGTAATCTTAACAACCCTGCAAGGCAGGTCAATATTATTATTGTCACCTTGCAGGAAGGAGATCTGGAGCTAAGAGAAAATGGCTTTGCCTATGGCTACCTAGGGAGTTCATGGAAGAGGCAAGATTTGAACCAGGGGTCAGTAAGCTGCAACAGCTGTCACTCCACTTGGACAGATGATAAAAATTGCATGCAGAAAGAAACCCAACAAGAACATCACTTTATTTGTTCTCTACAGGTTGCTCTCACAAATGGCCATAGCATTCTGAGATTATACCTTCAGGTTATAGCAATTTAACCATATTGCTAACTTGTTTTGGAAAATATTCAACTGAAAGGTTTTTAGTTCAGTGTTGGATTCATAGTTGCAAAACATACTTGCTGCCAGAACTAGAGAGCTATGAAAATGTTATCACAGACATCAGAAGGCTACTCACAAAGATAATTAGAAATATTGAACTTGAGCTTTAAAAAGAAATCAAAAGCAATAATTTATGTGGAATTATTCTGCTTATATCCCAAGGACAACTAATTATACAATGCCACACAATCAATACCTGTCAAGAGTAATTAAAAAGGATGATTTTCTAATTACCAATTACAGATAACAAGAGGGCAGTCTGCTATTTTACCCATCTAACTCAGGCATGAACCAACACATATTCTAATGTATCATGCATTTTCTCCCCATGCACTAACATTTCAACGCCAGCTCTGTTGTTTCTGTTCGAGGACCAAGAACAGTCTACTGGCAACAAGAAGAAAGTTGCTCCTCCATTAAAGCAGCAGCACAAACCTAAGGTCCCTGCTCTTTGGGGAAATACTGAAAATGAAGCCAAAGAGAAATGAACATAATGGTCAGGATAAAATATTTCTCATTGTATTAGGCTAACCCAAGATATTTGTATCATTCTTATCCAAGCTGCTACTCTCCAGATGTGTGGGACCACAGCTCCCATAACCCCCAGCCCACAGAGCCCTTGCTGACTGAGGATGATGAGCACTCTAGTCCAGTGTGTCTGAGGAGGCTGAGCGAGGCAACAGGGCAAACTGCTACGGAGCCCAACTCTAGCTGATGCCACAAGTCCTCAGAAGGAGTTTGTGCCTCATCAGCTAAAACATCTCATCAACACCAGTTGTGAAAGCCAGTGTGGAGCAGTGGTGGAGCACAGAGCTGGCTCTCAGGCAATCTGGGTTCTGGTCCCCGCTCAGCCATGGAGCCACCTGGGTGACTTTGGGCCACTCGCAGGCTCTCAGCCCAACCTACCTCACAGGGTTGTCTTGTGGGGATAAGACCAAGAGTAGGAGAAGGAAAACAAGGTAAGCCACTTGAGTTCTTTAAAAAACAGGAAAAGGGCAGGATAAAAATCTAATAAACAAACAAATAGCCTCTAACCCTCTCTTCCTTTGTCAGACTGAAGATGGTGCAGAATGAATGAGAAGTGCCTGTACCAAGGCGTGTATCTATGGATAGATTTTGTTCGGAAGGTATGTGCAGGCAGTGGGGGATTCATGGCTTTCTGCAGCATGTGGAAGTAAAAAAAGTGGTGAGGGAGAGTCTTAGTCTTACACACAATGAAAAGTGTTGCACATACACATAACATTCATGTGAAGTAGCTTGCTTGGCATGTCATAAAGAATCAAAACATTTAACCTATACCAACAGTGATTAAGGACGTTTCTGAGATCTTGTTAAAAGCTGCACTGTAGCAGTAGGAAATCTCAAGCTCCAATGAAAAGTGCAGGAGAAAAAAAGTTTCACATAAACTCTAGAATTTTAACTTGACTTCAGAGATTTCCAGCAAATGAGAAACTATGTTCCTTTGGCAAGAATTTCTTATACAAAACTTTAAACACAGCCTAGAAATATATTAGACAGATGGATAAATTCAGTTCATTATGAGATATATTTACTTCTTTTTCCTCAGTTATCAAGCACAATTCTTCGCTTTGGAACACTATCCCCATGAGCTACAAAAGCTTGTACAAAACATGGTGCTGTATGAAACTGGCAGAAGGCAGCAGTTCACAAAAAACCCATGTTTTTTTGCTATATATGCTAACGTACCTGGTTTGTAGACAGCTATCAAAATAATTCAGCCAAGTTGGTACAATATCCAAGAATGAAATGTTCCAGATGGTACAAATTAAACACTATATGCCCATGTCCAGGGTCCAGAAAAAGATGGCAATACCTGGGAAGTCTGTACTTCTGGACAGTTATAAATATGCTTCTGTATAGCCTGAAGTGCATGATCTTGCCTGATCTTGAAAGCTAATCAAGATCAGCCCTGGTTGAAATCTGGATGGGTGACTTAAATATTGTAAAGCAGAAAGCTTTGGCTATGGGCAGTATAGAAATGTAACAAATAAGCAATTGACATGAACAGGGGTGGGGGATGTGTGGCCTTCCAGATGTTGGTCCACAACTCACATCAGCCTTCATCATTGACTATGCTGGCTGGGGCTGATGGGAGTATAGTCCAACAACACCTCCTGGGCCACAATTTGCCCACCCCTGCCAGTACAATGGCTCCTCGTCCTAAGTTCTCAAGCCTCTGCTGGCTCCCTCTGTCAAAATGCCCATATGAACCCACACTCACGTCAAATGTGAGGGCTTGAATTCCAAAAAACACACTTCCCACATTTGCCAGTCAATGGCCAAATGTTGCGTTTGATGTTCAACTGGGGTGGGGTAGGGGTAGAAAAAGACAATTCTCAGTACCGTTTGGTGCAATCTCCCCAAACTTTGTTTCGTGCAGCTGTGCCAAACACAAGTCCCACCTGGAGGACACCAGCCTGGCAAGATTGTTGAGGGACGGACCCATTTTAAAGGCATTGCTCTTTTCCACTGCACTGTATGGGTTAAACCTTGGTGCATTGATGAGCAGAAAGTTTATGTTCTCTGCAAACCCAGCAGCCACGTGCAGAGTTGGTGAAGAAAAACAACAGCAGCTGTTCATGTGTGATTTGGAGTTGAGGTATTCATTGAGTCAGTGCATATGATTAATCACCACATTGTTGAATTGGTCTTTGCAAATCAATTTATGCTGCACTGGGAGATGTACAGTGCAAGATGAAAAGTCAGAAATGTGAATCTAATGGTTTCAGAAGCAATCAGCCTGGAGAAGATAGATAGATATACAGAGAGAGAAACACTGCACAACTTATGACCTACCAAGTGACGCACAGCCCCTAACTATTGACAGAGATTGGGCAGAATGTGGGGTTCACCTGACACGGGAATCCCTCTCCACCAACTGGGCACATCGTGGGTAGCCTCCCCACCACATCCCAGGGGAAACCATGAAAGCACCAACATGAAGCCATGGAAGTGCCCTCTCTCACCACAGCTTTTTCCTCCTCTTTATTTTTTTTCCTTTTGAAGGGGTGGAATTATAACAGGCAGCTGTCAGGCCATCTTCCATTTGGTGGCTACAAGCAATCGCTCCAAAGTGCCCTAGCGCTCATCCTTTTTTTTTTTTTTTTTTTAAAGAAGGAAGGTAGGAAGTTTGCCCTCTGTGATGCGATTACATGTTTGAGCTCGTATTTTTAAATTCATAGAATCATTGAATAGTAGAGTTGGAAGGGGCCAAGAAGGCCATCAGGTCCACTCTGCTGCTCAGTGCAGGACTCCAAGTTAAAGCACCCCCCTCAGGTGGCTGTCCAGCTGCATCCTGAATGCCTCTGGTGTGGGAGAGCCCACTTCCTCCCTAGCTCATCAGTTCCACGGTTGCAGTGCTCTGGCAAGAAATTCCCCCCACATCTAGCTGGAATCTGGCTTCCTGTGACTTGAGCCCATTATTCTGGGTCCTGCACTTTGGATCAACTGTGAAGCTATCCTGTCCTTCTCCATGACAGCCTCTCAAGTAGTTGTAAGAGTGCTATCACATCTCCCCTCAGTCTTCTTTTGAGGCTAATCATGCCCAGTTCTTTCAATCTCTCCTCAAAGGCTTTGTTTCCAGTCCCCAGATCATCCTTGTATGCCCTCCTCTGAACCCTTTCCAGCTTGTCTGCATCTTTCTTAAACTGTGGTGCCCAGAACT